CATTAATCTCTCTCTCTCTCTCTCTCTCTCTCTCTCTCTCTGAAAGTAGCAGGACTGTGGGATGCGTTATCGGGTCGGGTCTAGGTCTGGCCTGATCCAGATCCACAGTCTCCACAAACTACAAAAATAAAATTTTAAAATGCAAAAGATAGAGAGCACTGCATCCACCGAGACTGTGGGCTACCCGCTACCCATTTTCTTACTTCAAAATCCTCTCTTTTTATTTCTCTCTCTCTCTCTCTCTCTCTCTCTCTCAAGCCCCAGCAACAGCTATGGCCACTGTAACTCCCCTTCACCTCTCAACACCCATCAATGGCCGCACCTGCAGTCTTAAGTCTCTCTTCCCATCCCCCCCTTCTTCTTCACTGTGGCAAAAGAGGCGCTATCAGATCAGGTAGGCTTCTTTCTTTCCCTCTTCTAACTTGTTTCTTTGTCCAAAGATTGTAACTTGGGAATTGGGTATTAAGTAAATTGAAAATTGGGTTTATGTTGTTATCTTATTACTTGCAGAATCTTGCTAGAATTCGCCAAATTTCGATACTGAGAAGTATATTAGGAATAATTTTGGATATAGAAATTTGAAATATTGTTCCAACTTCAATTTAGGTTAGATAGAACTTAAATATCTTATAGTTTCACTTCTTTAGCACTTATATACCCTCAATTGTATTTCGTACCATTTATATACCCTTAGTTGGTTATAATTGGCACAATAATACCCCATATTTTGCAATTGTGAAAATTTTTATCCGAAAGTTCTAATATAACATTCATATGTTAATTTTAGAGCTTTTTAACTATTAATATTTGTTAAATTACTATTAAACCTACCCAAATTCTAATTTAAATGTATCATAATTCTATTTTAAAAATAGAATTTGGAGAGATTTAATAATGAATTCTACAAATATAATAGACAAAAAGTTATAAGATTAGCATATAAATGTTTTACGGGAACTTTCGGATAAAAATTTTGACGTTCGAAAAACATAGGGTATTAATGTGCCAAGTTTCACCAACTCGGGGTATATAAATGCTGCAAAATACAACTGAGGGTATATAAGTGCTCAGAGAGTGAAACTATAAGGTATTTAAGTACCTTTTAGTCTTTGATTTATGCATGAAGATGCATGACTTGTTTGATTTTACCCACTGGCCACTGCTGATATTTAGAATTTCTTCATGGGCAAACCCTTGGCCTTGTTATGAAGTAGCCCAGTCCATAAACTGGTTATCATACTTTTCTATAAGAGGGATAAGGACCTTAGGAAAATTTTATAAAAAGAGTATAAAGCAAAGAAACATGGTTAGCGACTACATATGTCAACTGATAGAGGACAACTTACAACTTGGAGAAGTGCATAAAGCGAATAAGCTACTGTCTTGCATGGTTGGTATGGGTGCTAAAATTCAGTAAGTAAAGCTGCGTTATGGATGATATATGTTAATTTCAAACATTTTCCAATGAAACCTGTTGGTTTCTTTCTTTCCAAATCAACCAAACGATCGCAATAACTTTGCGGTCTTGTTCTTCGTGATCATCAAGTAGGATGCTTGACATTAGCCAATAATTATGAATTGTAGTAACTTCTTTTATGAAGAGATTGTTATTGTGTCAGAACCAATGTGTTATTCACATAACTGCGAAAATGTAGCAATTGTTATTTCAATTTTCATGTCGAACACTGCAATGTGTCACAAATGAGTGTTAAGTAGAGGATGGAAAGGTAAACATTGTTGATGTCTTTGGTGGTTGTGCAGGTGCCAATCAACTAGTACTGAAGAACCTAAGACCAAAAGAAATTTGCTTGATAATGCAAGCAACCTTCTCACTAATTTTCTAAGTGGGGGTCGCCTTGGATCCATGCCAACTGCTGAAGGCGCCGTCTCTGATCTGTTTGGTCGGCCTCTCTTCTTTTCACTGTATGATTGGTTTTTAGAGGTGCTTACTCTTTCTTACTTCTTATATCTACACACACACACATTTGTGCAATTTTCAGTTTTGTTTTGAGTGATTAGGTGAGATTTGACAAGCAGATTCCGTTAGGGTTTACATGTTGGTTGATGCTTTTGCGTGTGCTGTATCTCTTTTTTTCTTTTTTTTTTTCTTTTTTCTTTTTTCTTTTTTCTTTTTTCTTTTTTCTTTTTTCTTTTTTTGTTTTTGCCCTTTCCTTCAGCTACCTAGTTTCACAGATCAAGGGCCTTACGACATAAACAATTTATTCCAAGAAACAATGAAATTGTTGTAGTATATGATACAGTTCTTGGATATATATCTGATCGTTCTGAGGCTCATTACTTCTCAAGAAACGTACAAAACATGGGCTTTGAATTAGCACTTAGATTTGGGTTCCTCTTCCTCATAATGTTGATATGTCCAAAAAGTTTGATTTGTTCATTCTTTTTACCCTTCTATTTTTCCATTTTCCATTTAGTTTCTTTGACGGTTTGGCCTAATAGATTATCAAGGTAAGAAACAACAATAAAATTAATAGGATTAGGAAACCTATTCTAAGAAGCACATCATTTATCTTATTCTTACTTGTTAAATGACTATGAAAAAGCTAATCTCATATGGATTGTGGTTCATTGAATTAAGCAGGATTTTTTTTACATTTTTACTTTTTAACAGTGAAAGCAAATATCAGATTCATGATTTGGAACGGAAAAAGGAAAAAAACAAAGACTGTGCATTCTAACAAAACGAAGCAATGTCCACCAAAATCACTTAATGGAAAAGGAAAATTTTGATTAATTCATCGATACAAGGTAGATAAAATGAAGTAGATTTCATGCAAGTCATCCTAAAATCAGACAATTGGGTTGAAGATATGGTTTAGTCCACTAACTCAATTTTTTTTAAGATAAGTTCACCAACTCAATTGAAACATGGTTTATGACTTCATAATTAGTTTTAGCGTCTCTATTTACCATATTGCCTAATTTATGTGATGCAAGTTGTGTATTCAGAAGATACCAACGCAACCTCAAATTTCAACCTACCAGAGCTTCTTATTCATCTTTTATTTAGTATTGAAACCGAAGCCATATGACAAGTACCGGAAATTTGATATTATATGATTCCATTCTCCACCTTCTTTTTGCATTGTTATATTTTATTTTATGCCATCAATTAGTAGGGAAAAACTATGTCATACTTCCATTGTGTAGAGTTTTCAATAATTTTGCATCAGTTTAAATGTTTCAGTTTGATTGCAGCATGGTTCGGTTTATAAACTTGCTTTTGGGCCAAAAGCATTTGTTGTTGTATCTGATCCCATTGTTGCAAGACATATCCTCCGAGAAAATGCATTTTCATATGACAAGGTATGTTATTTTATGGTGTCATCCTCTTCATATTTCCATATATGCTAGATGAGCTTAAGTGCATCTCTGTCACTTTAACATTGTCAATTGAAACGTGTAAAACTCCATGAGCTATATCATTTTTTTTACCTGTTACTTCTTTATTCTTTTCAATTATTTTTTTACTTATTAAAATATTACCTTATGGTCTATTCATCTATGGTTAAATATTAACGGTCGATAAATTTTCCTTAAATTTCATTATATAATATTTGGAGATACTGTGATAAACTCTTGATTCTGTTTAGTTGTATTCTACAGGGGGTTCTTGCTGATATCTTGGAACCAATAATGGGAAAAGGTCTTATACCTGCTGATATTGGTACTTGGAAGCAGAGGAGGAAAGGTTTGAATTTTTTTTTCAATTATTTGATAGATATACTTGCATATTCGTTGTTCTTTACATTTATATGCATATTTATAGGGAAGTACTACTGGTAAAGTACTACTGGTATATGATGGAGCCATTTGTATGTGTCATAAGAATTGAATTTCTACATAGCGAAATAAGTTATTAATGAGATTCACTTTAAGTAATTAAATATGGGCCCAGGGGTTGTGACTACTAGCATGGAATAAGGAGACAACTACAGTGTAGCTAACAATGATCCTGCCATAGTGACATTTTATGTGGTCAACAGCTCCAGAATACTTTTTCCTTTTGTTCATTCTGAGTCTATCTTTACAGTTTTTTACTATGTTCCTTAAAGTGAGGGCACATAGTTTGCCTTATTTGCATTGATTTTCCTACGTACTAACGGTTTGCGAGTGTCTGAATTGCAGTTATTGCACCTGGGTTTCATTCTTCATTTTTGGAGGCCATGGTTAAAATCTTCACTGCTTGTTCTGAAAGAACAGTATTAAAGTTTGAAAACCTCATTGAAAGAGAGAACCATGAAGAAAAAGCAATAGAGTTGGATCTTGAAGCTGAGTTTTCAAGTTTGGCACTTGACATTATTGGTTTGGGTGTATTCAATTATGACTTTGGCTCTGTTACTAAAGAATCTCCTGTTATCAAGGTTTGGCATGTGTATTGTTTACTTCTCACTATTTCTAAATGTTTGCCTATATGTTGGTCTTATTTTTGTTGGATGAGTTTATATTATCTCTATCCTCTTACTAGGAAACATTTTTTTTCTTATAACTATTTTTGTTATGCAGGGGATAAACTTAATGGTTGGTTACTCTCTGAAGTTTTCCATATCAATTTGTGCCACATTTTGACTCAGATTTTTGTTCCACTTCTTAATTCTAGCCTGTTAATGTGTTTATATTCAGTTATTTAGGCTATTGTTACCCTAAAAGTAATGGTCAAAAGGAAATCAAAAGAGAATTGACGAAATAAAAAATAAGAAAGCATTTTGTTGTTTATTTTGAGCTTGAGAAGAACGTTGGTTACCACACAAGTTGAAAAGCAAAGACCAAAATAAGAGAGTAAATCAAATAACTGCAATAGCTCACTGGGGCCTATCTTAAGTCTTTAATGTTTTTCTTTTTCAATCCTTCTCACGATGTGAGGCTCACTTTTCAAAGTTGTTTGTAGATAGTAATATCAAATGTTTGAAATTTTTTCCATCATCTTGATTATTAATAAAATCACATCATTTATTGTTCAATTACCATACTGTAGGATAAAATTTCAACAATCCCAAAATTTCTGCCCTTAAAGTCGAGGCATAAGCACTCATTATACAAGTCCCAATTTTATAATGTCGGTCAGTTGCAAGTTGTAACTAGTTTCGGTTTCTTTTTCCAACTGATGATTCTCGTCTTATGATTTTTCCCTTATGCATTTCTAGTAAATGATACGAGATAGCCAATTATTCCTGACTTTGAGACAATGCATTTTTTTATTCCAAGGACTTCTTGATTACGAATGAAATCAAAGTTTTATGAGAATCATTTATCAATTGTGCATATTCCAAGGCATGTAAATCTGATATCTTTTTATATTTCTGTGCAATGCGAAACAGGCAGTTTATGGAACTCTTTTTGAAGCTGAACACCGATCAACTTTCTATATTCCTTACTGGAATCTTCCTTTTGCAAGTTGGGTGGTTCCCAGACAGAGAAAGTTCCATAGGGATCTTAAGGTTATCAATGACTGTCTTGATGGACTAATCAGAAATGCAAAAGAGTCAAGGGAGGTGAGCAGTAATCTGAACAACTTTTCAATTTAACACAGCTTCATCTATATTTACATTACTCCTTTGCTATATGCTTCTCCAGTAGTCATTCAAAATTTCATCCAATTCTACACTCAAATCCTACATTGGAATTGGTGTTCTTTTAGTGATTTTCGTGTTTTTGCAGGAAGCTGATGTTGAAAAACTTCAACAAAGAGATTATTCAACTCTGAAGGTTGGCCTGGTGTTTTCTCATAAATAATACATAAAGATCTTTTGCATGTTTGTAAACTTCACTAGATCTAGTCAGTTGATTAATATTGTGTCCATGTTTGCAGGATGCTAGTTTACTCCGATTTCTTGTCGATATGCGAGGGGCTGATGTTGATGATCGTCAGGTATCTTTTCCCTCCCTTCAACTCTCATCCTTATGCTTCTCTTCCCTTTTTTTATTTTTATTTTTATCTTTAATTTTATTTCAAACTATATGTTAACAGCTTAGGGATGATCTCATGACCATGCTTATTGCGGGGCATGAAACAACTGCTGCTGTTCTTACTTGGTCTATTTTTCTGCTCGCTCAGGTATCTATCAAATTTTGCAGCTTTTGGACTTTAAGTTTCGATATTCCAAATATGCTATGTTTTAGCTTATTTCATGTAATACAGAACCCCTCGAAGATGAGGAAGGCTCAAGCTGAGGTTGATTCTGTTCTTGGTGAAGAGAGAATAACTCTGGAAAGCGTTAGGGAACTGGAGTAAGGTTTATAAATTAATGACGTTATTGAAGTGGTACAATGACTTGAATGTTGTTTTCTTACACATGATGAGTAGCCAAGTGCTAGTACTCATGAATCCTTGCTCTATCTAGTGCATTGTTTTCAAATATGCACCACAAATATCAAAACTGTCACGACCCCAATTTTAACCTAGAAGGAATGTTGAAGCCGGACTACACCTGTGAAAAATCTTCCAAAAATATACATTCATCAAAAGACCATCAAAATAATCTCTTCATTGAACTAAAACCAACAATAAATATTCTCTATAATTCAAAAGTCAATATTAATCCAATTAACTTGATATAAACAAATATTCCTCAACTTGAAATAAACTCAACCTAAAGGGAAGATTCCCATTATTACAAAACTCTCAAATTATCAACTAAATATCAAAGAATTTATTCAACCTTCACCTAGAAGAAGAGTAGCAATCTGCAAATTTTATTCCCCGCTCCCTCCTAATAATTTAGGAACCACCAAGTCCACCTAATCCTGAGTCTCTGAAAAGAATAAATATAACACAATGAGTTCACAACTCAATAAGCGGATAAATTCATACATTAAGCACTAGTTTTGCAAACCTAAATAACTTGACTTGATAAGCAAGGCATTAAAATAGTAGAAAATCATAATGTAATATTTTTAAATCTATCAATACAATGGAAATAAGCAGGTCACGTCTCAATATGGTCAAGACTTCGATACTCCGATTGATTTGAAAAACCCCACTATTATATAGCCCGTAGTCGGGACGGTGAGACCCAAACTTAGGTTCTTAGCGCTAAAATAACAACCTCATAGAGGCACATTGAGTCCTGTTTAGATGACTTGCTTATCTCCGACATATACCTGTACATTGGCTTGAGATGCATATGCTTTAAGAAAAATGAACAAAGTTCATATAACCAAATACTTTATAAAGATTTACCAAAGGCTAACTAATAGTGAAATTAATCAACCACATATGCATCTCAACTTACTACTATATTATAAGATATGATTGTCAATAAAGAAATAAGCATACGCGTGTACCAAAATATATGCATGCATCACAAAATACAATCTAACCAACAATTAATATATAAGTAAATCATACAAAACGATATGATCCATTTGGGACAAATCTGCATATACTTGATATAGCTTTATATGAAAAATATGCAGAATAAAATGCATAAATTCACCACTTACACAACACCCGAATGACTATTGGAAAATCTGTCACAAAGCCTCCTCGAAGTCCCTTGGGATTCCTACATAATATTTACAAATAATCATCAAAATTACCGTATAATCTATGACACAAACGTCTGTAAAAATAATTTTAGGATCAACTAACTTAAATTAACTATACTAAAATTAATTAACATATCCTATTGTACCCTATAGCCACGGTTAAGCATTGTATGCATAATAATGGAACTCAAGGTCACATGCTAAAGAATTAAATGGCCTTGTATAAAAAAAATGAGAACAGAAGGAGACAAAAACAAGAGGTAACAGGACCAAGCTTTGGTCTACCATGGCCATGACCTAAAAAATGAGGTATAGCCATATGTTTCTAACTGCAGATAAAAAAAATACCTTTGACTAATGTTCTTGATCCCAAACCTGATTGATAAAGAGCCATTTTTTACGGACGGAGAAGAGAACGCGACATGGAGAGGAAAAGAGATATAGGTGGTGATCTCACAAATATACGTGAGCTAGTATTTTTAGATATTTAGCATTTAATTTACGAATAGAGCCCTCTAACATTTTATGCATAAAAGTCCTTTTAATATATATATATATATAGCCAATAGAAATAAGGATTATTACATATTATCCCTCTTAACAGAAGTTTTGTTCTCAAAACTTGGACATACATGAGTCTTCAAATAAATTAGGATATATTTCCTTCATCTCATCTTCGTGCTCTCAAGTAGCTTCTTCAGCTGAATGATTTTTCCATAAAACCTTCACTAGCTTAACAATCCTTAACCTTAATGCTTGCTCTTTTCAATCCAATATTCTAACCGGATACTCTAAATATGTCAAATCTTCCCTGATCCCAAGAAGCTCATAATTCAATACGTGACTCGGATGAAGTATGCACTTCCTCAGCATTGATATATGAAAAACATTATGAATTTAGCTAACTCTAGAGGTAATGCAGTTTTGTATGCTACAGTTTTAACTTTCTCCAAAATCTCAAAAGGTCCAATATATCTCGGACTCAACTTACTTTTTCTTCCAAATTTTATCACTCCCTTTGTAGGTGATACTCTAAGGAAAATATGATCGCCCACTTCGAACTCCAACTTTCTTTTTTTATTATCGGCTTAGCTCTTTTGCATGCTTTGAGTTATACGAAGCCTCTCATGTATCTGTTGAATCTTCTCAGTAGTAATCTGCACTATCTCAGGACCGAGCAACCTTCTTTCTCCTACCTGATTCTAACAAATAGGTGATCTACATCTTCTACCATACAACGCTTCATAATGGGACATATCAATACTAGAGCGATAGCTATTGTTATATGTAAACTCCACCAAAGGTAAATGTTTTTTCTAGCTACCTTTCAAATCCAAAACACAAGCAAGAAGCATATCCTCCAATGTCTGAATAGTCCTCTCCGATGCTCGTCCGGCTGTGGATGATAAGATGTACTAAAACCCAATCGTGTTCCCAAAGCATTATTCAGACCTTGCCAGCATCTAGAACGGAACCTCGAATCTCTATCTGATATAATAGTCATCATTATCCCATGCAAGCTCACAATTTCCTTAACATAAAATTCAGCAAGCTTCTCAAGAGAATGAGTAATTTTACAAGGCAAGAAATGAGTCGATTTAGTAAGTCGATCAACAATCACCTATATAGTGTCATTACCACTCTGAATCCTAGGAAAACCGGTCACAAAATCCATTATTACCTCCTCGCACTTCCACACAGGAATTGGTAGAGGCTGAAGTAGTCTGTCAGGCTTCTAATGTTCAATCTTGACCTGTTAGCACACCAAGCAGTTAGACACAAATTCTGCAATACCCCGCTTCATGTCATTCCACCAAAATGTTTCTCGCAAATCTCTATACATCTTTATAGATCCATGGTGAATTATATACGCGAACAATGCCCCTCCTCTTAAGACTTCTTTCTTCAACTCTGGATCATTAGGTACACATAAGCGGTTTTTGAATCTCAAAGTTCCATCATGAACTATAAAATCATGTTGAAGTCCATGTTCCACATCTGCTTTAATTTTTACAAAAACTTGATCATCACTTTGTGCAGCCACAAGCTTGTCAATCAAAGCAGACTGAATTTTAAGATGAGCAAACATCACTCCAGATCCTCGGAAGTCGAATATCAATGTCAAGTCTCTTCAAGTCCTCCAACATATGCTTCTGATTTGTGGTCAACGTGGCAACACTAGCATTGGACTTCCTACTCAAAGCATCAGCTACCACATTCACCTTACTGGGATGATAATGAATATTAAGACCATAATCCTTTCATTAGCTTCAACCATCATCTTTGTCTCATATATAACTCCTTAAGTGTGAAAATGTATTTAAGGCTCTTATGATCTGTGTAGATGTCACAAGTCTCCCCGTACAAATAGTGCCTCCAAATCTTCAATGCAAAAATAATAGCAGGTAACTCTAAATCATGTGTTCGGTAGTTTTTTTTCATAAGGTTTAAGCTGTCTAGATGCATATGCCACTACTTTTTCATTCTGCATAATAACACAATCAAGACCAATATGAGAAACATCACTATATATCACAAATCCACCTGATCCAGAAGGAATCGTGAGTATAGGTGCGGACGCCAAACGATCATTTAACTCCTGATAGCTCTGCTCACACTTCTCTATCCACTGAAATTTGACCACTTTCTGAGTCAATCGAGTCAAAGGTGCTGCTATGCGAGAAAATCCCTCGATAAACCTTCTATAATAACCAGCTAATTCCAAGAAGCTTCGTATCTCGATCACGGTGCTCGGTCTCTTCCAACCAACAATCGCCTCTATCTTTGAACGATCCACTGACACCCCTTCTTTAGAGATAACATGCCCCAAGAATGAAACACTCTCTAACCAGAATTAACACTTTTTTAACTTGGCATACAATTTATGTTCCAAAGTAATTGCAAAATAATTCTTAAGTGTTTTTGTATTCCTCCCGACTCCTAGAGTAGATCAATATGTCATCAATAAAAACAACTGCAAACTGATCGAGATAACCTAAGTACCCTATTCATCAAGTCCATAAAAGCAGCTAGGGCATTTGTCAATTTGAACGGCATCACCAAAAATTTATAGTGTCCATATCTAGTTCTGAATGTAGTCTTCGACACATTTTTAGGCTTAATCTTGAGCTGATGATAACCAAACCGAAGGTTAATCTTGGAGAACACCTGAGCACCCTTCAATTGGTCAAATAAATCATTAATCCAAGGCAAATGATATTTGTTCTTCACTGTCACCTTATTCAATTCTATGTAATCTATACGTAGTCTCATGCTCCCATCTTTCTTCTTCACAAAAAGCACTGGAGCACCCTAAGGGGATATACTCGGCCTGATGAACCCCTTATCTAACAACTCCTCCAATTGAGTCTTCAACTCAGTCATCTCTGCTGGTGCCATACGATAATGTGCTTTTGAGATCGACCATGTTCCTAGAATCAAATCAATAGCGAACTCAATCTCTTTGTCAGGTGGTAACCCTGACAAGTCTTGAGGAAAAACCTCAGGGTATTCTCGAACAATTGGAATTTCATCCAAAATGACTTCCTTCTTCTCGGTGCAAATTACATTAGCAAGATAACCCTGACAACATTTTCTTAGATATCTATAAGATCGCATAGCTGAAATAACACATGGAGGAACACTAACACCTAACACATCGAAACAAAATTCGGACCTCGAAACAAAATTCGGACTCCCCAGGAATTCTGAATGAAATTCGCTTCTGAAAACAATCTAGAGATGCATCATAAGTAGAAAGCCAATCCATACCAAGAATAACATCAAAATCATGAATATCAAGTAACACAAGATTCGCATCTAAGGTTCGATCTCCCACTACGATCTCACATCCCTTAAAGATGTGATTAGTGATCATACAATCGCTGGCTGGTGTAGAAACTAATAGCTTAGACTCTAATAACTCTGAAGTTCTACTCAACTTACTAGCAAAGTTGTGAGATATAAATGAATGAGAAGAACCAGAGTCAAACAACACGTGCGAGCTGAGAGGAAATAATGAGTGGTCCTGACAATGGAATTAGATGCGAGAGCGTCTTGCTTTGTCAAAGCAAAAACTCTCCCTTGCATCTTAGATTTCTAATCATCACCAGGTGTAGGCTTCACTTTCTGATCGTCGTTCTTGGGTCCCTTCTTTATTAGACAGTCTTTCGCAATATGACCCTGTTTGTCACACTCATAACAACCTCGAAATAAATGACAAAAATGGCCTTTGTGATTATTACCGCTTCTATAACACTGTCCATCATGCCTCTGAACAAACTGCCCCGATCTTTGTATTGGAACTGCTAACCCTCGAAATGTTGGATTCTTAAAAGGCCTAAAAGCTAACTTATTTTTCTGATTACTCTCGTCCCTGATCCGCTTCTTCTAGTCCCAGTTTTTGTTTGGCTCATCTGCAATCTTCTCTCCCTTGCTTTTTTAGTCCTTTTTGCTCGCTCCATTGCTTCCTCAAAAGTCTTTGACCTAACCACTGTAACCTTATGGATTTCTGGCCTCAGCCTATTCTCAAACATCTCTATCTTATCAAATTCTTCTGCAACTAGCTCAGATACATATCGAGATAACTCATTAAACTTAGCTTCATATTCTTCCAATGTCATGTTATCATGCTGCAAATCTATAAGTCCTCTCTTCTTGCGAGATCGGACATACAAGGAAAAATATTTCTCTATGAATAATTTAACAAATGTGTTCCAAAGAATATCCTCCCCCCTCGAGTGATAAACTGACCTCCTTAGTTTCCCATCAGATCTCTGCATCTCCCTCCAGCATAAAAGTAGCATAAATAACTTTTTACTCTTCTGAACACCCTAAGGCTCTGAAGTACTTCTCCATTTTTTTTAGTCATTCCTGTGTCGTCGTTGGATCAGAACCTCTCTCAAAAGATGGTGGAGACAACTTCTTAAACTTTTCAAAGTCACTACCAATAGGTTTAGTCTTTTTTTGTATATTTAGTACTTCGCTTAGCTTCTCAGTTGCCCCCGACTGCTTTTCAAATATCTCCATCTGTCTCTCCATAAATCCACTCTGCATCTCAATAAAATTGGTGAGTCCTTCAACACCCCACTGGGCTCCGGTAACCCTTCTTGTAATCCTAGCAGTACGAGTAGCCATTTCTCCACGAGTTTTGGGTCATAATCTTCCTCTGGCATTCCCATCAGGAGCCTCATTTGTAACATTAGGGGACTCGATGTTTTGACGACCTGCACCAGCATTTCCACCACCCCTAGTCTGGCGACGCCTACTCGACTGGGGTATACTCAAAGGTAGTATAGTCTCTCTCTAGCATTAAGTTTAGGAGAAGAGCGCCTCACTGCAACACTAGAGCCCTCTTCCCACGAGTCATCTCAGCCTAGCATTACCAAAAATAAGCAGGTTTAGCACAAAATTTAATCATATTAATTATCAATAAATTAATTCACAACATATTCTTTATCACAAGGCATATATAATCAAATAATATTATTATGAAACACACATACCATGCCTTAAACTACCCGGACTAAGCCTTTTTCCTCTAAGAAAACAAAACTAAAGGAATTGTGTACTATGACTCTAAAATCATATATATAACTAAAATTTTATCTGATAATGTTCATATTATTTTCGATCACACTTCAAAATGAAACATCAACTTTTATTTTTATGCATCAAATCCAATATATTTTTCTTTCATTACTTAACCATCTCCAAAATCAACTAAGACCTACAGCCTAAGCTCTCATACCAATTTGTCACAACCCCAATTTTCGAACTTAGAAGGAATATTAGAGCCGGACTAAACCTGTAAAAAGCCCTCTAAAAATATACATTCATCAAAAGACCATCAAAATAATCTCTTCATCGAACTAAAACCAACAATAAATATTCTCTATAATCCAAAGATCAACATTATTCCAATTAACTTGATATAAATAAATATTCCTTAACTTGAAATAAACTCGACCTAAGGGAATATTCCCATTATTAGAAAACTCTCAAATTATCAACTAAATATTAAAGAAATTATTCAACCTTCACCTAGAAGAAGAGTAGCAATCTACAAATTTTATTCCTTGCTCCCTCCTAATAATTTAGGAACCACCAACTCCACCTAATCCCGAGTCTCTGAAAAGAATGAATATAACAATGAGTTCACAACTCAATAAGTGGATAAATTCGTACATTAAGCATTGGTTTTGCTAACCTAAATAATTTGACTTGATAAACAAAGCATTAAAATAGTAGAAAATCATAATACAATATTTTTAAATATACTCATGCAATAGAAATAAACAGGTCACATCTCAATGCGGTCAACACTTCGATACTTCGGTTGACTTAGCAAACCCCACTATTATATAGCCCGTGGTCGGGACGATGAGACCCAAACTTGGGCTCTTAGCGCTAAAATAGCAACCTCATAAAGGCACATTGAGCTCTGTTTAGATGACTTACTTATCTCCGACATATACCGGTACATTGGCTTGAGATGCATATGCTTTAAGAAAAATGAACAAAGTTCATATAACCAAATACTTTATAAAGAATTGCCAAAAGCCAACTAATAGTGAAATTAATCAACCACATATGCATCTCAACTTACTACTATGTTATAAGATATGATTGTCAATAAAGAAATAAGCATATACTTGTACCAAAATATCTGCATGTATCACAAAATACAATCCAACCAACAATTGATATATAAGTAAATCATACAAAACGATATGATCCATTTGGGACAAATCCGCATATACTTGATATAGCTTTATATGAAAAATACGCAGAGCAAAATGCATAAATTCACCACTTACACAACACCCGAAGGACTATCGGAAAATTAGTCACAACGCCTCCTCAAAGTTCATTGGGATTCCTACATAATATTTACAAATAATCATCAAAATTACCATATAATCTATGATGCGAACTTCTATAAAAATAATTTTAGGATCTACTAACTTAAATTAACTATACTAAAATCAATTAACATATCCTATTGTACCCTATAGCGACGGTTAAGCATTGTATTTATAACATTTTTTTTAATAATGGAACTCAAGGTCACATGCTAAAGAATTAAATGGCCTTGTATAAAAAAAATGAGAACAGAAGGAGACAAAAATAAGAGGCCATTGGACCAAGCTTTGGTCTACCATGGCCATGGCCTCAAAAATGAGGTATAGCCATATATTTCTAGCTTCAGAATAAAAAAAATACCTTTGACTAATGTTCTATATCCCAAACCCGACTGATAAGAGCCCTTTTTCTCCGGAGAAGAGAATGCGACAAGGAGAGGAAAAGAGATATAGGCGGTGATCTCACAAATATACGTGAGCTAGGATTTTTAGATATTTAGCATTTAATTTACAAATAGAACCCTCTAACATTTTATGCATAAAAGTGCTTTTATTTTTCTTTATACATATATATATATATATACACACACACACACACACACACACACACACACACATATATACATATATATGTATATGTGTATATATGTATATATGTATATACATATGTGTATACATATATGTATATATATGTATGTATACGTATATGTATATGTATGTATGTATACGTATATGTATATATATGTATATATGTATATATGTATATATATATATATATATAGCCAATAGAAATTAGGATTATTAAAAAAAACTGTCTATACCACACGCTAATCCTGATGATATGAATTGGTTGCTACAACCTTTCACACGAACCACTAACAATAATGTTGATATCTAATATGAACTTATGCATAACAAGCTAAAAACTATATGTATATTGTACTAAGCTAAACTTATTGCCTGAATAGTAGAGTCCCAATGGGTACTAATTACCAACATATTGTTGGTTCCATATGAGTATAAATTAAAACCAATAAATGCCATTAGGCTAATACATCTGTGACCCTTTTTTTTTAAAAAAAATATACAGAAGCATAATGCATGAATGCCAAATGAAAAGTATCAAACTTTGCACTACTTATGAGACTACCTGAGCATGAACTAGTAGTTGGATTCTATGCCAAAGTTGGAATACTCATACCAATATAAGCTATTTACTAGGGACTTATCTGAAACAAGTAGTTATTTTCTTAAGGTACAATTTCCCTGACAAGTTGATCCGCCGTGGAATTGTCACAGACTCACAAGTACACTATTTGATAGTTTATAGGTCAGAACAATTTTTTATTTGTCATAGATGGATTCACAAAAAACTAAGAAGCTTTGATGATAATAATCACTCTTTAACAATTTGTATAGCAAGCATCCAAACGTTGTGGTAGCCTAGCTAGTTGTCCCTAATAAATGAATCGCTGTGAGCATCTCAAGAAACGACATTCTTCAGATGTTTGTGCACAAGCTTAACAGGACAACCTAATTATACATTTTACGCCTGTTGTTAATTATTTGGTGAGTGAGTTGTGTGTTTAGTTAACTTTCTTGTCATCTCAATTTATTTCTTATTATCCCTATATTGAGGTTGTCAGATGTTACATTCCTTTGCCATGAGTTGGCAGAAACTAAATGATGTGATTCCATCAGGTATATACGACTCATAGTTGTTGAATCTCTCCGGCTCTATCCTCAACCTCCCCTACTTATTAGACGGTCCCTCCAAGAAGATAAACTACCAGGTACCTTTCTTTTGTTTTTGTTTTTTTGTTTTTTGTCAAGATTTGAACAAGGATAGTAGTGATTGAGCGTGTCGACTCAAAAATGGAGTGCAGAAAACCGAAGAGTTTTTTTCTGTTGATTTACTCATGTTTTCATGTACTTCAAAATTTTTTGATGTTTTGATTGCTTACTTAACTAAAACATAGGTGCTAGCTTGTTATCTAATATAGGGTTTATTTGCAAGTATACCCCTTAAATCATGGGTACTTGCAAAAATATACCCCAAATCTTAGTATTTGCAAAACTACCTCTCAAATCATCGACCTTGTGAAAAAATACCCCCAAAATCATCAAATCATCAACTTGGTGAAATTTGACTATTTTATTGATAATTTTTACATTGCGATTACATATTAGCTTATCGAAGTTGATGACTAATTGCTTTGAGGGTAATTTTTTTTTTCAAATTTGACGATTTGAGGGGTAGTTTCGCAAATTCTGAGATTTGGAGGGTATTTTGCAAATACTCATGATTTGAGGGGTATAGATGTAAATAACCCTATAATATAATCATGTATTTTATAATGACTGATGTATAAGATAGTATATGAATATAAAATCAGAAAGTTATTATATATGATATTTGTTCTCATAATTGCGAAATAAGTTTGCGTCCTTCCATGTTAAGTCTGAGCTCAAAGGATAATTGTTCCAAGGGACAATTGTGCAGGAGGATACATGGGGAGTGAAGATGGATATGCAATTCCAGCTGGGACGGACATCTTTCTCTCCGTAAGTCGGTCATTTATTGAAGGAAAAACGATAAGTTAACTATATCTTCTGTTGGGTCTGAGGAGACGGATTTCAAATTTCTCGTTAATTATTTCCCATCTAGGTGTACAACCTTCACAGATCTCCATACTTCTGGGATCGGCCTAACGAATTTGAGCCAGAGAGATTCTTAGTTCCAAAAGCGAGTGAAGGTATCAAAGGATGGTCAGGATTTGATCCAAACAGAAGTCCTGGAGCAATGTATCCGAATGAGGTTCTACATCAACACCTTAATACCTAAATGTTTTGAACTTTTTATTATTATAGATAACTACCATGAACATTTTCGCCCACCTTCCACGTCTGAGGATAGTTTAGGATAGAAAATTTTTTCCTTGTGTCTTTATATATTTTCTATGTTTACTTTATAAATTTTGGTGGGTTGATAAATATAAATAATTTAGACATTTTATCCAAGACAGTTAACGTCGTTAGCAACAAGTTCCAATAGTTCATGGTGTTTTTCTGTAATTTTGAAACTTTGTGGTGTTTTCTCTAACAGGAAAAGTTTGTTGTAGTTTGTGCGAAAGCCTCCGAAGTTCATGATAATTTTGTGAAATTTACCCATCTTAATTTCAATGTGGAACTAAACAAACTTCTCCAACTTTATCTAATACATACCGACTATTCTAGTAGTTATAAAACTTTGTCTTTTCATCCACTTGATTATTTACACAGTTTGCGTTGCAACATATCAGGTAATCGCGGATTTCGCCTTTCTTCCGTTTGGAGGAGGTCCTCGAAAGTGTGTCGGGGATCAGTTTGCGCTGTTAGAGTCGACAGTGGCGTTGGCGATGGTGTTGAAGAAGTTTGATGTGGAGTTGAGAGGATCAGCAGAGGATGTAGAGCTTGTCACGGGAGCAACCATTCATACTAAGACTGGCTTGTGGTGCAAAGTTAAGAGGAGGAGTACTTGAACAGAAGAGTTGGAGAATTTTTGTTCTTTCTCCTTATTTAAGGGATTGAGCCATGTAATTTGAAACTTCAACCCTTTTTTTTTTTTTTTGTAGAAATGTATTGACTATTAATAATCTGCGCTATTTTAGGAATATAAGATGAAGCTTTGTTCTTTGAATTAATTTGATTGCGATTTGCGTACCGATCCAATTGTTGATAGTTTCGATGCACAATTAGCATAATGAATCGAAATTACTAAATAGTTTCTGACATGCATAAAGTTTCACATATAAATGATGTCGTCAAAAAAAATTAAATCCTAAACCCCAACCATCTCAAAATTAGGAATTTAACAAACCAATTGGCTAACCTCTCCGCTAATCAAGCAGAGGCAAGGGGGAAAAAAAGTTTCTATGGGTCCCATGGAAAGTCAAACTATTTGACTCCTCCCTGATACGTCACTACGGACGTCATCGTCTAGTCCATATTCTGACCGTGGGCTCACCGTCGGCCAAGTCCAAATGCTCCTCATCTCCTATTTAAATAAACCTATCCCTTTAACACGACAGGTATCAAAGTTAGTTTTACTTTGGTAACTTGGGGTGTGTTTGGTAATCACCCGAAATCTAGGCCAATTTCAATCCTAATGTAGTTGTACTCTAAATCAGTATAGAATTGGGCCAAGAAGGTGGTGGTCCAATAATAAACTGGTTTTATAGCATTTTTTTTCAACCTAAGAAGAAATGAGCCAGAATTGATCCAGTTTTCACCAACAAAAAACCAATCCAAAACCGGTACATGTTCAGTCATGACCTAGTTTTGAGAGTTTGCATTGTTGCTCGTAAATTTTCTGCTTCAGTGCCTAATTGCCTTTGGCTATTGAATCTGTCCCCTTTTTTTTCTATAGCATAGCCCGGAATCGAATCCAAGACCGCGAGAGTCAAGCTATTGAATTTCTCCCTTGATATTCCTTAAACTATATCTAAACTATTAGATTATTAAGTCACCGTTTACCCCATTGAACTATTTTCAGTGTCATCTTATCCTTCGAACTAGTAAATTTGTCTCTACTTACCTTTCTAGAAGAGTATCAAATTCAATATCTAGTTACCCACCTTTGATTTATCACTTTATGGATATTTTCAATAAAATTAAATGATGGTTCAGACTAAAAGTAAATGGTAAAAAGAGAACTAATTCCAGAGTTTAGGGGATATGCACGCACTAAAAATAATTTAGAGAGAGAGAGAGAGAAGGGGCAAATCTAAGGGGGCCTAATTTTTTTAGCCAACTTGTTTTAGTTAGCGTGTGAGAGAGTAGAACTTGACAGCTTGCAAGGGGTTTTGGTCACTACAAATTAATTTTACTAATTATAACTTTTTTTTTCTATTTTATTTGATTTATCATAGTAGTTCAGTAATATTTTGATACTACCTATGTTTTTGGTTTAGCATTGAGGTGCATCTCCCAACAAATGTTTGTGGCGACTTGGCCACCAACTGAGTCTTTAATTAATTTAGGATGCAGACTTGGCATTCGGTGGACCTCTCGATCTTGTTCACTAAAGGATTAGCAAAAATTTCTGTTCAACCTACAAGTGAGCTTTAATCGTTTGGTTAGTGTCTCACTGTCTCCTACGAGGTTGTGACTTGATGAATTTGTTAACTCGTGAGTTTGGCGTTTATTTGAGCAATGTCTGACACATTAAAACCTCATGCTACGTTTAATGTGGTGCGTGATGATGGACCGTTAGTTTTCAGCCAATTGACTTGCCTTTGCCTTGCCTTGAGCACTAAGATTTATGCTATTAATATTATAACGGTTTTTATATAGAGTATCTATGGGCACTCTATAAGAGAGTAAAGAGATAGAGAGAAATGAATGAAGAGCAGGGACTCCTAATTTGCATTGGGATCCCTTCTTCATTCATTTATCTCTATCACTCTCCTCTTTTATAGAGTGTCCATGGGCATTCTATAGAAAACCTGATATTATAAATTTGAATTAGTAGGGGAGCAGGAAATTAATTTGCTATAGGGCAACTATCATCATATTTAATCATCCAAGAAAACTATGGTGCGCAAATTTGTGTGCCTGTGATTATTAGCGAGTAAATACGGTTATATAAAGATTATTGTGGCTTCGTATAAAAAACCGCACACGTGCGGATGGACTTGCGAGGGGCTGGTCAGCGTCTGCTGACGCCAGCATTCCAAATGCGCCACGTCACGCCTCTCTTTCCCAGGAACCATCCCTCGCCTCCTTCCAGAAGATTTCCCCTACTCTCACGCAAGGAATCTCACGAGAGCAAAATCCTAGATGCACCCAGTTCACAGGCAACCCAGCTGGGTCCCACATCTTTTTACCTTCCGACCAGTATTTCCGGTGTGATACACGTATACTAAAATATACATCCTCAACGTATACAGAGTAAGTTAATGGCTTGAATATATGTCACTTTAGTAATATCTCCAGTCGGCCGGCTGTTTAAACTTAGAGAGGGTGTTTGGCAATTTAAAAGTGAATTTAAAATATGTGGTCTTTTTTAGCAGATGGTTTTTACATCTCTGTTAGCATGCAAGTGAAAATACAGTGTTTTTTTGAAAACTTAATTATTGTTGAAAGTATAATGTGAATGTGGTGTGTCAGAATAAGAGTAATTAGAAAATACAACTAAAATTATTTAATTAAAATTAGTTATCATTTTTAACACTTGCATGTGATTTCACCACTATTTCTGAGAAAATCAAGATTGTATTAAATTCTACGTGACAGCTTTACTGTATTTTACTTTCATAATCATTTGTATGCAAACAAACACGTACATTGTTAAACGAAAATGACTTCTCTCTTACGAATACACCCTTATTTTCTCAAAAAATTATATACAAACACTTTGAAAAATTATACAAGTATTTTTTATACTTAATTTTAAGATTTAGGCTCTGTTTGGCAAAACTAGCTGAAAGTTGCGAGATTATAGCTGAAAGCTGTTAAGCTAGCTGAAAGCTGTAAAATTATAGCTGAAAGCTGTAAAATTATAGCTGAAAGCTGTTAGTTGTGTAGCTAGCTGATTGACTAGAGCTGTTTGGTAAAAGTAGCTGTACAACTAGCTTAAATTTGTTAAATGACTAAAAAAGACCTGTAATATTATTGATATAAAATTAGAATTATTAGGGGCAAAACGGAAGAAAAAATTGGCAGCTTCTTTCCAAAGACAAACGCTACTTGATGTAACTTTCCAAAAGCTACTTGCAAAAGACACAATCTCCAAAATAATCTCCTCCTATTTTTTATCACCAAACAGCTCTACTAGCTTATTGACCAAGTCAATAAGATACAAGCTCTTGTTGGATTTAATCTAATAAATCTATTTGTGGGCACATATGATTAATCAATGTGTATTGCTATCTTTCAGGATAACCCACTAAAGTGATCAATTAAGTTGGGTTAATTTGGTATTTAAATAAGTCATGGGGTTATATGTGCAGATACCAGGTTGTAATTGTAATTTATTGAGGGGCTAAATTACAAAAGTACAACATCTATAAATAAGGGGTTATGGTCCCTAACCTAGGGTTACATTCTCTAATTCTCTTCACCCCCATCTAAGAGAGAAATTCGGTTTTAGAGGAAACCCTAAGGTTAGAAGATCCAAAACCCAAAATCAAGACCAAGCAATGGATTCAGGTATAAGCTTCCGCTCTTTTAGATCCTTGTTAATCTCTTTGAATTAATCATGGCTATATGGTTTTAGATCTCAAGTTTTATGATGTAGATCTATCAAGTGGTATCAGAGTCACCTTGATTAATTCTTAGGGATTTAAGTTTTATTGGGTTTTTGATCTTAAATCTCTGGTTAAAGATTCAATTTTTTGTTCGGATGAACAGTAACGAAAAAATTTTCGGATGAATAGTAAAATTTTTTGTTCGGATGAACAGTAACGAAAAGTTTTTCGGATGGACAGTAACTGAAAAAATCGCTGGTGAACAGTAACTTTTGGGAATTTTTTGGATTTTTCTTTGATTTTTTCTTCAATTTTTTCCAATTCTGGATCTGTTTTGAAAATAAAAAAATCAAAGATTTTTTTGGGTTTGACGGCGGCGGTTTCAGTTTGAAACTCTAAGGGTTCATGGCGAAAATTAAGGAGGTGGTTACCTCAAACGAACCTCGCGTTCGTTCAATTTTAACCGAGCTTCGCGCTCAACGAACCTCGCGTTCGTTCTAACGTGAACCTCGCGTTCAACTCAGGTGAGCGTCAAGCTCAATTTTAACGAACCTCGCGTTCGTTCTAAGGTGAACCTCGCGTTCAACTCAGGTGAGCGTCAAGCTCAATTTTTAACGAACCTCGCGTTCGTTCTTCAGACGAACCTCGCGTTCGTACTTCAGACGAACCTCGCGTTCGTACTTCAGACGAACCTCGCGTTCGTACTTCAGTCGAGCCTCGCGTTCGTACTTCAGACGAACCTCGCGTTCGTACTTCAGTCGAGCCTCGAGTTCGTACTTCAGACGAACCTCGCGTTCGTGCTTCAGTCGAGCATCGCGTTCGAACTTCAGACGAACCTCGCGTTCGTACTTCAGACGAACCTCGAGTTCGTACTTCAGTTGAACCTCGCGTTCATTTTTTTTTTAACGAACCTCGCGTTCGTTCCCAAGTTGAACCTCGCGTTCTTTTATCAAACGAACCTCGCGTTCGTTCATTTTCAGACGAACCTCGCGTTCGTGCTTAAGTGAGTCTCGTACTCAATACAGTCGAACCTCGCGTTCGAAGTTAAGGGAACTTCGTGTTCATTATGGTTAAGCCTCGGCTTTTCATGGGTCCACTTTGGTATACTTAATTTATTCAATTAAGTTATGGGCCCTAGTTAAGCTGTGAGACCCCAATTAAGTTTTTGGAAATTCAGTTGATTTAAATTAAAAAAATTTTTAATTTAAATCTAATTCGGTTTTTTAATCAATTATTTATTCAAATATTATGACACTAAGGTATTAAGGTTGTCTCTCACTCCAATTGATTAATTGAAACAAGAAGTTGCCAAAGTAACCTCTCTTGTGTAGATTGTTCATGAGGAATGTGAGATGTTTGTGTGTATGCTTTCGTGTAAATATTTAATCGGCCCAAAGGAAGGTTAATATTTATTTAGACTGTATACACATCTGCGATGATAAGCGTGTGACAAT